AATTTCTGCCGATGATTATTATTTAATATTTCACTTATTAAATAATTCTTGTGTGTGTCCTGATAAATTCTCAATTATTAGGATTTTCTCAATTAGCCCATTAAGGACTTGATCCATTAATTCCTTTACTCTACTAGATAAATTGCATGGAATAATTTGGGCTTAATTCACAATCCAATCCCAATGGCCCGCAAGTAGGCCCAATAAGTCTAAGGTCGATACTAATAATTAGGGTTTTCCACCCAAACATGGCCCAATAGGCCCAAAACCAATCTCTAAGCCCATTAGGGTTTGCTAGTGGGGCACCACCCAATACCACCTCAGGTAGTGGTGGTCGATGGCGGCTCACAGCGGTGGCCACCACCTTACGGTGGTGGTTATTATTATTTTTATTATTAACCAAAGCTAATTACAATTACAATGTTTAATACAAACATAAATACACACTAACACACACACACTACCACACCATGGTGGCCGGCGGCGGTGCTTGGCGGCAACCACCACCTCACGGTGGTGGTGGTGGCTGTTCTTCAAGAATTCTAGCTAACCAACACCCAAACATCACCTAACTGCAATAAACACACACACACATATGATTTCTATTGCAAACGAACCCAACCACCCACTTGGTGGCGATGGTAACACAAGAAGTCCGACAGCAGCTTCGCTATCGGCGATAACCACCATGGCCGACTGCCATGGTGGTGTTTTGTGACTCTTATTCGACAGGAACCATACGAACTCGCCCTTAATCGTCATCTAGAAATTGAAGCTTCCTGACTCAGCCACCACGGGTGGCCAACGACGACCAACACCCACCACCGGTTCCCACCGACATACTCGATGTCGGCCATAGAAAGAGTGAAGAAACAGATGTAAGTGGGAGGCGATGGTCCAAACCGAGAGCTCCTTTCCGTTCATGACTTGCATGGTGACGAACACCATTAGCTTTCTCAGTCTCAGCGATTCTCTAGCAGCAACGTCACAAAAGCGACCCTCCATGGCAGTATAGCTATCGCCGACACTAACGACACAGCAGGCAGCGGTAGAAGAAAGCGGAAGAAGAAGGAAACACGGAGAGGCGATGGAACAGTGGCGATCACACTCGCTCCGACAGATGGTGGCTATTGGTGGCTTTTGACCTCCATGATGATGATGGTGTGGCAACGGGAATCCAGAGGGGAAAGGTGGTGATCGACGGAGGGGATAAAAGGGGGTTTGCGGCTGCTAAGGCACCTAGGGTTAGGGTTCCCGAAGAGTGATGGGTATATATACCCGGGTTTCTTTAAACTTTCCATAAAATACACTTCCAACCCTCCATTCCCTTATTCCTTTCAAAATAAATCCATATTTTACACTTTTAACCCTACCTTCATAAATCTTTACAAACTGAATCTAAAACTTACATTTTAAGCCCTAATTCTATGATTTCCTTTCATAATAAATCCCTTACTTACCATTAAACCTTGAGTTTTAAAATTCTTCACCAATTTGCCCGAGACTTACCTTTATTAATTTATTTCAATAAACAGGGTGTTACACATTATACAATGAATAATGTGTAATCAATATGGTGATTAAATAAAATGTGTTTTATTTATACTCAAAATTTTTGAGACCGTATTGGATTCAATTATTTTTGTGTTTCACTTTGCATGCTTTGACTTCCCGAATAACTAGATTATTCAAATTATCCACAGTCGATCATACTTTGGAAGTAAGTATTGAAGCTAGACTGTCATGAATGAGTCTGTAGATTGTCTAAAGGTGTTTAGACATAGCACAAGTTTGCTACAGTATTCATGAGTACTCTTGTAATAAGATTTGAGTATTGGACTAAACTCACGCTCATTTGAATCATTTCATGGATTTTATTACGAGTGATCATGAGATGATAATATCTTATATTCTTGAAACCAAGACATGTGAGTTGTGGTTTACAAGTCGGTTGCACATTGACATATGTAAACGCACTAGTAACTTTGTGTTATAAAACATATTGTTGTATGTGATTTGATGAGTAAATAGAGCAAGCACATGAGTCGAATTTTATCTGTTCCTTTTCCCCTAAGATGGATAAAAGCGATATCTATGGGCCCCTCGATGATTTAGTGATGACAATCCTAAGTGCTTGGCCAAGCCTGGACTGATTTGATTTGTTCAATTAGTCGATCGTCATAAATCGAAAATCGGGAAACAACACATGAACTGAGAGAATGATTATAATCAATGTCTCAGTTCATACGATATCTTGAATGGAGGAATATATGATCCCTTATCTAAAGAACGCGTCAGAGTTCGACAACGGCTTTAAGAGCTATGATTGCTAGTCGGGTTTTGGAGTCGTACTTGCAGTTATAGTTATTAGACTTATCCAAGTAGGAGACTGGTGGATTAAGTGTCTAAGCCCATAACTATAATTGGTATGTACTTGACTCAAGAGTAGCATGGTCCTTTTTTGTTGCATTCACCAAAGTAATTTGATAGGATAGATATTTGAAAAAGAGGTCATTTATGATTTACTAATATATTATAAGTATAATATATTAATAGAGAAATCATATTATTTAATTAGTATTGATCAAGAATTAATTTGGAATTAATTTAATGATCAAAAGAGACTAACTAAATTAACGGGGACTGGTTAAGTCAATCAGTAATATTTATAGTTTGGACCAATGATCAATATTGATTAGGATTGAGTAATTCTATGTGGGAATCCACAAAGAGTTAGTCCATAAGGCCCATTATATGGATTATTGGATTGCTTAAAGGCTTAAGTAAATGGACTAGGGTTTACAAGTTAAACCTTAGGAATTCCAAAGTATATATGTGTAAGTGTATAACCCCTTTAGCCAAAATTGAACTTAAGAGTGACATTGAAGAGATGGACGATTTTGAGCTTCATAACTTCTCTCTCTTTATTCTCTAATTGCTTATGGTGTCTTGTGATTCCATTAAAGGTGCAACATTTGAGGCACTAAGCTCTTAAAGGCAAAAATACAACACGCTACAACAAGAGGTAATCTTTTAACTTACTTTTATGATTCATATGTCAAATTTTATGCTAGTTATAAGCTTCATGCTTTGGAAATTTTATTGCATGTATAATTAGAGAAAACTTAGATCCAAAGCTATTAGGGTTGTATGTGCACCATAGGAGTGTTATAGTACATAAAACCTAACAAATAGTTCATACCTCTGACTAATCCCACATACAAATTTCAAATCGGTTGCAGGTCCCGAACTAAAATCCATTTTCCATAAAAGTCTGAGCTGATAAATTACCGAAATACCCATTGATCCAAAAACTCAAACTGAATACCCGAGCAATTCAAGGTACATTATCCAACTCCAACTGGGTCTGAAACCCAACCCCTCGGGTATGCTTAGCTTGATAACACTTAATTCCTTTGATCACCAATTCAAAATGGGAGCAAATCGAAACAGGATGTTGCAACTCTCCCCCTGTTGAATTAGATTTCATCCTTGAAATCCGCCCTTACCTTCCCTAGCACATCCAACAATCTGGTCAATACCTCCACAATTCGGAATAAATACAGCCTTCCCAAGGCAACCGATACCAACCCTAAAAGGACTTATTAACCTGAAAAGGAACGAATCTTAAACCCTTTTGCATAAAACCACCTCTATCCTTCCATGACTTGAAACTTCAAGTCTTCAAATTGACCTAGCTTCCCGACAACTGCCCACACTGAACCATCATCGAACTTATTCCATAAGAAAACCAGCCTAAACATAGTACTTTTCACTCGTAATACCTTGAGTTAAAGTTTTTTCTTGGAATGGAGGTTATAAATAATTATAATGGAATATGTTTGTATTAATGAAAGTATTGCTTAGAATTGTTGTAGGAATTTGGAATGTTAAGGGTGCAAACTTGTTAAGACACCACTTGATCCTTATGTTGTTATAAAAGTTGATGGTGCTGAAAAATTTGACTCTTTGTTGACAAATATTACGGAGTTTCAAAAACTCATTGGGAAATTTATTTACTTGACTATAACTAGACTGGATATTTCTTTTATTGTTTAGGTGCTTAGTCAATTTATGCAGAGTCCCATAAAATCTCACTTAAAAGTTGCTCTTAGGTTATTGCATTTTTTGAAAAATGATCCTGGTAAAAGGGTTAGTGTCACTAAGAATGATTGTTTGTCTTTAAAAGGTTTTGTGGATGCAGACCGGGCCAAATGCCTTGTTTTTTTTAGGTCTGTAACATATTATGTTGTGTTTCTCGGTAACAATTTACTTTCATGGAGAAGTAAGAAACAAATCACTAATTCTGCCATTAAATTGGTGTTGAATCCTGTCTTCCATTACTTGGATCCTTTTCCTTATCTTTTTTTTATATATTTAATTTATTGAGGGTATATTTTGTCTTTTGTTAGTAGTGTGTTTGTAAAGGTTTGTTGTAGGAGGGTTGTTATTGTCAAAGGTGGAAAGCATTGGACTACGGCTCATTATCTATCAAAGTTCTAAAGTATGTTGGTTTTACCTAGATTCGGATTTAGATCTGTCGTATATAATGTTTGTATGTGTGTGTGTTGAGAGCTCGTAACTCACACGTTAGGATGAGAATTCATGTGTTATTAGATTAGGTTGAGAGTAGTATACATTGAGTGTTGTAGTGAGACTTGTGATTTCTAAGTGATTCAGTATTCTAAATAAAAGAATTGATGTTGTTAAGATCTAGAGTTTTGTTCAAAGCGCGAAGAAACCATTTAGCTAGAGTTCTTAACTGAGTATCGATTTTATCTTTAACACAATTTCAATCCTTTCTCCATTTCTCTTATTAGTAAACTGTTTGGTGAGATTGTATGTTGAGTTTTGATTGCCATCAGCATCCATATTGCATCGGTACAAAAGTGTAGAGAAAGCGTTGATAAATTTTCAGTGATAAAAAAGGGATTGGGTTATCCAACGGGTAAAACTAGGTAATTAATGGCTGCATTTTCTTCCTTTGCATTGCTATGAATCTAGTTCAGTTCTGCATCTAACCTATTCCTAAAATGTACAATGAACAGGGTAAATTTTAAACCTTCCAACTTTTAGTTAATACGATTTCAATGATCAATAAATATTATACAGTTATTTATAATACCTTGGTATTCTAAAACTTGTGTCATTTGCAAGAAAACTGTACATGAACAAAAGGGGACCAACAAAGCTCCAAAATAAAAGTAAACTATACTTTAGTAGTTTCGTGTTACCATGGGAAGTCATCCTTCATTGCATCTTCAAGATTGTACTTAAATCTCTGTAAAATTAACAAACACCAAATATTAATTAAACAACAGTTATATTATATCTCATGAGTAAATCTTTTTACAAACCTTGTTAGCATCCGATAGAACAGCATACGCCTCCCCAATTATCTTAAAAAGCTTATCTGCATCCTTGTGTATGGTTTCAAAAATCTGTTTCCAAACATCACCATCTGCTCCACTCTCACATCTTATTAAAAACTTACCCGCCTGCATATATAAGCACCATATGTATATGTCAGATGGAACTGTGTCTAGCTGATGTAAAAATAAATAAATAAATAAATAAATAAATAACCTTGTCAGGATGATGTCTGAGTGCAGCTTTATGATATGCTTTTTTAATTTCAGCACTAGATTCCGAGCCTTTTAGTCCCCTATCACACAACAGTAAAAAAAACAACCATTCTAATTGTTAACTATGTGTATTAATTGACTGATATTAATAATGAGAACTTACAAGATGAGGTAAAGATCCAAAGTCATTCCTTTCTTCAAATGTATATTCATAGAAGAAAGACGTCGACGAGCTACTTTTAAATCTTCACACTTGTCTTCACTATTTTTTTCAAGAAGAGTGATGAGTCTCTGAAGATCAAGAACTGCATGTTCATAGTCTCTTATCTTCTCATGCAGATTTGCCCTCCTAGAAATCGCCTGAAAACATGACAATGTGTTATTAAAACCATGAATTTTTTAATCAATATCCAAAAAAGTACATATATATATGTATGTGAAAAGATACCTTGAGGTAATTCTCATCAAGAGCTATGGCAAGATTACAATCAGCAATGGCATCAACAACTTCACCCAAAGCTTGGTGTGCTGCAGCACGATTACACAAGCAGATAGCAGCAAAAGATCTTGATTCAATGCTCATTTGTAGAGCATTGCTATAATGCTTCACTGCTTCTCTGTGTCTCCCACCTTTATAAGCTTCATTTCCAGCACTCTAAAGTTGGAAAAGTGTTTTTTTTTTTTTTTTTAATATAAAAAATATATATATTCTTACTTAACCACATAATATATATGGTACCTTGCAGCGAAGAAGTTCAGAGACAGTGGCAACTGAAAAAGAGGATGAATCCTCAGTCCTACAAAGATACATATTTTTATTACTAACTTCATTCTTCAAAATAAATATACACATGTAATGTGTGTGTGTGTGTGTTTATTACTTGTTTTCATGAGGGGCTAGTTGCTCATATTTCTCAAGGGTAACAAGGGCCATGTCAAAGTTACCCATACGAAAGTAGGACCTAGCCATCATGCGCCATCTCCAAAGCTTCAATTGTCGTTTTTGCCCCTCATTTGAAATGTTAATATTGTTAGCACAATTATTTTCTGACATAGGAAGTGTTTTCTCACACATTTGAATCACCTTTTCATAGTTCTGCAGCTGTTACAGCCCACATATTACAATACCAATTTTGTGAGAATAATAATAATAATACCTTTTATAGTAAAAATCAACTAAATCACTCCACTGATATGAATCTATATACCAGAAAGTGAGCTTCTGCTGTCATTTCAAGAAGTTTCTCTGAATAGCAGCTTATCGACAAGGCCTCCATAATGATCTCCAGAGCATTAGTTGCTGAATCAGAAGTTTTCTGTTGCAATAACTCAGCAGACTGCTTGATATAACTAACCACTTTCTGCAAGTTAGGAAAATCCAATCCCCATATCATAAACTCATATAAAGTAGCATACATCCATTTAAACCTTAAATCATAAGCTGATATAAAGGTCTAGTTTTGTTGGACAATATGAAAGAAAGAATTAAGTCCCATATTGGTAGAGTGTAAAGGTAGAGTGGCTCCATGCCTACAAAAAGAGTCCAATCCTTTGGTTGTATGGGTTGTTGGGAATCTTTGAGACCATTTTCTGATTTAAAAAGAAACTGAATCCATTAAATAAATGGTATGTTATACCTCAGCTTTATGTAGGCCTTCAGATGCCTCAATAGTAAGCCTTCGATCCAAGCAAACAGCTCTAGACTCCAAGCATTTTTTGTAATTCTTAATTGCATCATCAAGTTCTCCAAGTTCCAGATGACAGCTAAGAAACACAAGACAAAATTCTTTGATAAGTAACAATATTTGTGTAAATTGTGGTATTAAAAAGATAAATGGTTTAAAAGATAAAACAAGAAACCTAAAATCTTACTTCCCAGCTGTTAGGCAGACCTTAAGATAGCTTGGATCTAATCGAGCTGCAATTCTGCAGTCATCTACAGCTTTCCTCATCTTTCCAAGTGACATTCTTTTAGAAGCACGATTGCTATAATACAACACAAGAGATTCAAGTTCTTGTGTCTTGGAAGATATTGCTTCACCTCCATCCAAAACAGAAGCTATAGCTTTTGCTGCTTTCCTCCATTGTTCTGTTTCTACCTTCATCTGCTTCATTTCAGCATCTGCAGTCTCATTTGCTTCTTCAAGCTCGTCAAACTTGTTCTTCATTAATAAATACATCCGGGAAATCTCTGCTTCTTTTTTTCTAGCAGATGATAATTCGTTTCTGCATTTTTCTAAATCCTCTTTAATATTGTTCATGTTTACAATAAGTTCCTCGTTTTTGGTTTGAACAGAGCTTAGTTCCGCATCAGCTTTGTTCAGCTTAAGGTACAGACCATCAATTTCTTCATCACGCAATTTCAGTTCATGTTCTTTATCTTTAATCTTTGCTAGTAGTTCATCAACAAAGGGCTTCACTGGTTCTGAATTTCTTATAGTTTCAGTTGATGTATTCAGTGGTTTTAATCTAAACTTGGTCGTCCCAGAAGTGGATTCCATGGCATCAGAGCTCGATGGATCATTACCTAAACCTTGAAATCCTCCCCTGACACATATAAACTTCTTTTAAAAAAACGAGCTACAATTTGATAGAATATAGATTCAAAATACACGAGCAATCTATAAGTCAGTAATGTGAAATCGGTAATAGAAGATGTATTATATTAATCGTTTTCACAGAGGTTCGAGTAAAGAGACAGATCATCAGAAACCAAAGATTTGGAGAGGAAAAGTTAATTACCTACGCCCATTACTCCGAGGAAAAGAGCCAGTCGTCGGACAGTCGCGAATAATGTGACCAGGTTCGCCGCACCCAAAACAACACCTGCCATCACTTCGTCCACCACCACGACCACGACTACGACCACCGCCACCGCCACGATGGGTTGATGTATCCCATGTTCTTTTCTCAAACTCTTGATTACGAGTCTGCTCGGCAAAGTGATCAAAAATTGTTTCATGATCGGGCACTCGGGAACTCAGATTCCCCGGATGTACTCTAGCCATTGCAATTTCGGTATGTTATGATTTAGGGTTGGCGTGGGATTTGGAGTGAGCTTGAACTCCGATGAACACCAAATCGATTCGATTGTATTCCTAAAAGGCGTCGACTGTTCATCCACTGTCGTCGGTTATAAGTCTTGCAGAGAGGACTTTATGGAAACGCTTTTTTCAAAGTTGCCTCCTTTTCTTATAATTTAATACGGGATTCCTTAATTCTTAAATATGGAAGATTGCTCCTTTCCTATAAATTTAAATAAAAGAGTTATTGCACGGGTTTAAAAGAAAATCGAATTATTTGAGCACACCATGACGATATGGTCGTTAGATTATATTCATTTTATTAAAGGTATTTTAGTAAATAACTTAACCTAATTAATGATAGAACATGTAATGTTAAGTTATAACTGATTGAGATCTTTTTATATTAGGCACGATTTCTTTCTAAAAAAAATTGTAGATGTTATTTTGACATATAAACATTTGAAAGATATGCATCTTACTTTGTAAAACAGGAGTTTTGTACAATGCCATGGTATTTTCAAAAAACATTTACAAATCAACTGTAGTTTCAAACTTATTTACTAAAACATACTAATTTGTTATTACTTTTACAATATAAATTATTTTTATAATATAAAATTAAAATAACAAATAACCTTATTATTATATTATTATTATTTCTTTTCTAATAATTTAAATCATTCTCATCAACTGATTTGGTTGAATGGTTAAACGAAAGTCTCAAAGCTATTAAAGAAATAAAATAAATCAAAGGAAAAACTACAATAAAGTTCTTACATATTGGCTTTATAATCGATTTAGCCCTTATATTTTTTTTATTCAATTAAGTCCCAAATACCGGTAATCGTATTCAATTTAACGATTTGACCCGGTCAACAGGTCATCCAGCTTTTAAAAATTACATTTTCGACCCAAATTTCAAAATTTATTACAAATTTGGTCCAAATTTTACATTTTTGGCCCAAATTTTAAATTTTTTTACAATTTTGGTCCAAAATTTACACTTTTTGCCAAAATTTTAGAATTTTATTATGAATTCATCCTAACTTTAGTCTTTTTTATAACTTTTTCCACAAAAGTTTGTTTCTAATATGTTTTTTCTTTAAAACTCATATTTATAAAAAAAAAATCATATAGAAATCTTATTTTTTCTATATAAAAACTTTTTTTAAAAACTTTTTTGTATATAAAATATTTAATTATAAAAATAGGTTTGGATTATTTGTGTGATTTCTCTTAAAAAATCAATTAAGAAATTAAAAGTAACTATAAATTATACTATTAAATTATAGTTTGTCAAAAACTAGTTACATCTTCTTTAATCATGTCAAGAAACATGTGGTGAAAGAATAGTTGGTACTAGTTTATGGCTATTTATGGAATCCTGAATAAATTATGGAATTAAGAAACATACGATTCATTAACTACCTTTATGGATTTGGCTATTTATAGCTATTTATGGAATCCTGAATAAACCAGTACCAACTATTCGCAAACAAGTCTCTGAATAAACCAGTACGATTCATTAACTACCTTTATTCCACATTGAACCTTGATTGCTTTATTCAGAGACTTGTTGTAAGTTATATCTTCTTTCCCATCACAAATTTTTCCATCCCAATAACATAACAGTGTAATGGATTTTGATGTCATATTGATGAAAATCTATGAAGAAACCAAAATCAAATTTTCAAATAAGAGACAGAAATCATATAGCATTTATTATAAAACCTTAATGATATATATATATATATATATATATATATATATATATATATATATATATATATATATATATATATATATATATATATATATATATATATATATAAAAGAGAGAGAAAAGTTAATAAAATCACACGAATATATGAAGATTATTTAATGGCATCATGTTAATGATATAGAGTTAGTAAGCCAAAAAAGGGACAATTAATATTGACAGAAACATTCACTGTTGACAAAAAGAATCTAAAGCAATAGGAATTGAAGTAATGTTAAACCAATTAACCAATAAATCAACGCTTTGAAAAGCTTACCTATGATGGTGGTGTTGGGTAGATATAGGAAAAACTTCCGACGATTAAAGATGGGGCTATATGCGGTTCTAATCATAAGGACTAACGAGGCTGCTGCAAGACGACCAAGAAGAGAACGTGTTATCGATAATTCTTACGTTTCCTAGAAAAATAGGGTTTTTTTTAATTTTAAATAAAACTAAAATTACTTTGTAATTATGTTTTAAACTACCCCATTTAAGTAAATATTTTTTCAAAATATTACGGTTATGTAAAAAACTTTGTAAAACAGTATATGTTCATATATGAACACTTAAAAATACTCATGTTAATACATCTTACTTTGGAAAAAAGAATATGATCATTTATGAAAATGAACAAATGGAATTTTGTCATTAACGAACATCATATGAGAGTATGCTTCTATTATACGTATAATCATACAAAATCTTAATACATAATATTCGAACACTTAGAATGAGATACAAGTCTCGTGCTCAAAGTCATTATCTTAATATATTTAAATTAGTGGCAAGTTTAGAATAAAAAATCATATAGTTCTATAACCAAGTTCAACCATTTCTCAAAGTCATTATCTTAATATATTTAAATTAGTGGCAAGTTTAGAATAAAAAATCATATAGTTCTATAACCAAGTTCAACCATTTCTGTACAAGCATGGATTTGAAAACTGAATCGTACTGCACCAACTTGAGCAAACCAGGTTGAACCGGAACTAATCAGGTTATTATTTTTATCTCAAAGAAACCAATACTTAGCAAACCAGTTGGAACCGGTATGCTTGCTAAAAAAACGTTTAAACCTTTCAAAAATTCAGTTTTTATAGCTATATATATTACATTTTTAAAACGACATAACCCAAATTAGAATAAAAAGACGCCCCAAATAATTAGTTTTTAACTCATTAGTTGAGTCATAACCAATTAACCACCAAGGAGGCAAGCACAAAGATACTTCTTGCTTTTTATAAGAGATCATGGCTCATCTATTTCATTTTGCTGGCCAATATTGGACTAACTATAGGTGATACATATATGTTTTTGAATTAAATGAATTTTTCAAAGATATCCCTTCTTCTTTGAACTAATACATGTTTTTCAACCTTGTTGAAAATTTAGGTGTGTCAAATGACACACATTTCTATATACTAACCTCTCCTTAGGTGAAATACCCATTATATGTAGTTGATGAAGCCAAAAGAAAAATCAACAAAGACCCATCATACGTAAAAGATTAAATGAAAATAAAAACATTAAACTGCTTTCCAGAAATTTGAGATATTTTGGACTTCTTTTAGCCCAAAAAAAAAAAAAAAAAAAAAAAAAAAAAAAAAAAAAAAATCAGCCAAAGAGGATGTCATATAGGGTTCTTTCAGCAAAATTGAAAATTTGAGGGTATTTTTGCTAAATACAGGGTGGTGGGACCTAATTCCATTTGATGATGTACCCACTTGTTCTATGTTGGGTAGTGTCGATGCTTGTATGTGATCTGAAATGATCATTTGAATGAAGATTTAAAAATCATTTTAAGGAAACATTTTACGCAGATTACGTCCTACATAATTAATTTTTGAGCAGTTTAACGTTTAAAATTCTCAAAATATACAAGACTGTAGCAAGTAATCAAGAGACAAAGGTTAAGTAACTATCGTTGATACATTTAACAATGTTTTTATCTGTATCGTACAATCCCTACGACACTGTCGTAATCAATTTAACATTAAAAATGACATAGTAAGTGTATTTGTGATAGTGACACAACAACATAAACACAAAAATAAATGAACAAAATAATTGTACGAATCCACCTTATTCTTCATGCAACTTAAATCCACAATAAAAATATAATCATTTCTAAAATATTTTAAAATTCTAGAATTGTTTAGTAAAAAATAAATCTATAGTTACTTGTTTTTTTTGTAAACTTTAAATTTATATTAAGTTCAATTTTAAATCCCTCAATTGCACTTAAAAGTTCAGATATTGTATTCTCACATTGCAACAAAAAGTTGTGAAGAGTTGTTATCACTTGCAATACTTCTTTTCTAGTGACCGGTTTCAAAGGCACTGGATCATCATCAACCGAATTTTGAATGGTATCCGCGATAATTTTTTCAATACTTTGAACCTCCTAACATTTATTATTTTCATCTGGATAACCTAACAACATATTCTCATCATTATTTCTGTTTTATTCAAATAGATAAAGTAAACAGACATGCAAATTTTGAAGACCGACGCATTAATTTGAGAGTTGCTCACGAATATAAGTCAACTCTTTAAAGTAATAATTATTAATTTATCGATATAATAATATCTTGCTAAATTAATAAAATATATCAGTTCCAATATTATTAATTTATAAAGGTTTTAATGTTACTATTGCAGTGATATATGTGTTTATCTCCATTTTATCCCACATTTCCTATTCTTAATCATATTTTAACCTCTGTAAAAGATAAATATAAGGGTGTATTTGACAAACTAGCAGCAAACTGTAGCTTTTATTTGTGTTGAAGCATTCGGAAAAGGGTCGTTAGCTTTTAAAGTTATAAAAAAAAAAAAAAAGTTTCCAAAAGCTACTTGAAGTAGCTTTGGATTTAGAGTTTTTTATTTAACATAAAAACTAAAAACTTTCACTGTCAAACGAAGTTTTTTTGTTTTTTCGATTTTTTTAAGCTAAAATCTAAAAACTCTACGTGGAACAAGCCCTAAATCAGAAGGTTAAAAATGGAAACTTGATTCAAAAATTAAAATGGAGAATTTACTATTTTTAAAATGTGATTCTTATTTTCAAGGATTTCTACCCATATGAATTCATTTTTTGTCGTGTACTACATGCCAAAATGATAAGAGAAAGTGAATAGATGAGAAAACATATTAAGGTTTATGTTAAAAATTCAACTGTGATCGATATAATTTGAGTAAAATGACACCAACGATCTTGCTTTAACACTAGCACCTAAAATGTTTTTGTTGAACATCGGCATCGTCATGTTGTCAAAATCATCCTTGCTCTCATGGCACAAGCTAACACACCTTAAGGATTATGGCATTTTTCTTTTGACATTGTTGTATATCTTATTAAGCGTCTGCCTTCTCGCACCTCCAAGAAACGGTCTCCCTATCAACATCTTTTTAACTGTGCTGCAGACTACTCGTTCCTTAGGGTATTTGATTGCATCTACTTTCCTTACCTTTGACCATACAATCATCATAATATGGATTTTCGCTCA